ATTGATTATTAATGAAAAAGAAAGTTCCGGCGTTTCCTAGGTCTTCGCATAACCTTTATTTATAGCATATCTATCATTTTCCATATATTTGGCATATATGGTATATTTGGTGTTTCGCGCAGATTTAGCATATTTTGTAGATCTGCCAAGATCAGCAGATTGGACAGATATTATGGCGTAGTAAAATCAAGTGATTTATTCCGTCGGATGATTTGCAGTTGTTTCTTCTATTACAATATTATTATGTAACAATTTTTATTCTATTAAATAAACTTGTTATAAATAATTTAGTAATACTACACGTTCTTAATTGCTATTTTAAAATTTGTATTTGCAATATATTTAAATATAACTATATATTTTTAATAAAATTTAAAATATATTTATTATATAAATAATAATTTTTCTTAATAATTTTTTAAATATAAAATTTATAATAATTTAATATTATTAAAAAACCCTACTTTTTTATTAATTATTTCTTTTTATATCTATAAAATAATAATTATTATATAAATTAAAATGATTAGTTTTATATATAATTACCAAAATTAATATTTTAATTTTTTAATAAAAATTATATATTTTATATAAATATTTTATTAATAATAAAAATTTATAAAATTCTTATTAATTATAAAAATTATAATAATAAAAAATTTTATAATATTATATATTAAATAATTATAAATCAATTATAATAAAATTATTCAAAATTATTAAAAAAAAAATTATAATATTATATATTTATAAATATTTATAAAATTAATTTAAAAAATTTTTTAATTTTTTATAAAAATAAATTAGAAAGAATTTATTGCAAATAATTATATTTATTTATAATTTTATATATTTAAAATATTTAAGAAATAATAATTTATAATTAGTATTTTTATTTTATGTTATTACTATTATTATTAATTAAAAATTCAATATTAAAAATTATCAAATGATTACTAAATTAGATCATAAAATTATAAAATTAAAGGATCTACATAATTTCTAATTAGATTGATTTTTTGATTTTTATTTATTTTTTTTGATTTTGCAAATCTGATTTATATATTTAGTTTATTTATTATTATTTTTTATATTTATGATATCACATATAATTATTATTTTTAATATATTTTATATTTTATTTTATATTTTATTATATGGTCTGATGCAAAAAGATTGATACACAAAGATCATCACCTGATTTTTTTGTGTGACACAAAACTTCACTAATTGATCATCATAATTATATGAATTATATATAAGGTAAGGATGGTTATAAACTTTAAAATAAAAAAAATTTTAACTGTTTTTTCTTTTCAAATGGACGATTTAGAACGAGACTGAAGCTACCTGACTAGTAATGAAAAAAAGATGGTCATTCGTGTCTATTAATACTTTTTTGATACCTGACAGAGTAAGAAGTAGCATCAAGACTTACCATTACGCAAGAAGGTTGCTACGGTCCTTGGAATTGGGAAGGCAATAGTTATGCGAGTAATTTCTGAGTACAATAAAGATAAAAGTGATGAATAGTTACCACAAAAAATATATGAAAGACCAAAAAAAGAACTTAATGATAATATTGTTGAAGTTATATGTACTTTTATTATGTCTTCTAACCGTTCCGGCTTGTCACTTTCAACAAATAAATTATGACAGGAGCTTGAAGAAAATGACTATACACTTTCAAAATGGCAGTTACTTCGTATACTTCACAAGCTAAGATATTATTTTGGTCAGGGTGAACGTTGAAATATATTGCATGAATTTTCTCAAAATGTTGCATTTCGTGGTCGTTATTTACGGTATCATTTTAAAAATTTGCAGGGCAAAATAATGTCTCTTCTAGACCAGAAGTATTCTTAGATGAATCATATTGCCACTTACATTATACTACAGGTCGTACTTGGGTGACAAGTCATGGGGTTGTATATTCACCTAGACACAGACCTCTAATCATTATTTTTAGTGCGATAATTGTAATGTGTAATGGTAATTCTAATAAACTTTTTGGCAAAATTGTTCCTAATTCTCTTTTGTTATGGGATCCCTCAATTAAACCACCTTCATCAAGAGGAAGAAAATGGGCTAATGCTAATGCCTGGGATAATATTCCTGATGTCATTTGAAATTCCAATATTGTAGCTGATCAAGTTGATTACCATGGCAATTTTACAGCTAAAATATTTGAAAACTTGTTTGATAAACTTTGCGTCAACATTAAAGAACACTATGGATCAGTTGATATTCATATGGATGGTGCTAGGTATCACAAGCTCCGAGTTGAACAAGTGCTAACATCAAACTCAAAAAAGAATACAATGACTAAATAGTTATTATCAAATAGCGTTAATATTCTAGAAAATTCTAACAAGGCAGAACTTTATGAATTAATAAAATTACACAAAAATAAGGTTCCTTTTAAGTGCGTTCAAATAGCTGCAAAATATAACCATAAATTGTTTTTCACTCAGCCTTACCATTGTGAACTTCAACTGATTGAGGGAATTTGGTCAACTGTAAAAGGTGAAGTTGCTAGAACTGGCTCCTATTCTAATCTTTTAGCTATTAGAGATAAATTATTGCATGTTTTTAAAGAAAAGATTACCTCTAAAGTTATTGTCAGATTTTGAAAAAGGGCACTTAATAAGGCCAAAAAATATAAGAATTTAGATGACAATATATTATTGGCCAATAGTGATGACGAAGATTTTGAGATTGATGATATTGATGATTAATAAAATTTTTTGTATTGAACTTAAAACTATAATAAAGCTTATATTAAATTATATCTTAAAACTTAAATTATAAATAAAATTATTTAATAATTTACATTAAATTTAAAAAAAAAGTTTTATTATAAACATATAGGTGTATCAATCTTTTTGCATTGGACTATATTAGATATATTTATCTCATTATATTTTTATTAGTTTATTTATTATAAATAGTATGTATTTTCCTTGAATTAAAAGAAACTTGAGATAGGGTTTAGTGAATAAATCAAGAGTTCAATAAAGATATTTGATATTCATTTATTATTACATTTTCCCATGTTTTCATACAGGTATGATTGTGATAAAGTCATTGTGATTAATAAATCATCTAAGTTTTATTTCTAGCCTTCCGGCTAACAATGTATAATTGTTTGAAATTTTATCTGATGTAAACTTGTTCGATTCCTATTGGTCAATATAATATGGAATGATTGTGTGAGTGAGAAAGGTCATGAGTTTATGACTGTCGGATATAAAGTTATAATAAGAGGTCATAAAATTTAAAAATTAGTATGATTTGTATGATTTGATTATATCTATTACTATTATTTGTATATATTTATTAATAAAATAAACTATTGAAATTTAATTTTTTTACATTAATAAGTTTCATTTTTTTTTGTTGCAAGTTCAGGTATTTCTTTTTGTAATAATAACAAAAAATCACTAATTTCAATTGATCCATTTGTCATGAGTGATTTCTAAAAAAAAAATTTAAATTAAATTTTACAAATTTTAATAAATAAATTTTTAATTAATAAATATAAATATCTTAAATCCTTGAAATGTCATTCTAAAGGTTTGCTAGCACATTCCAAATCAGGATAATCCAGATTTAACACTATATCACACATATCACACACAGCTGAGCTGCTGTATAAACATAAAAATTATCAAATAATACATCATTAATTACTGTTAAAAAACGATAACACCAAGCAATGGGCTGCATCTTATTATTTCATTTGATTGATGTAAAGCTTCGTTAAATTTTATTTAATTTGTATAAGTTGAATAAAAATAGTTCAACAAAAAGAGTAATTTTTAGTATAATGTCAATTTATAATATGGGTTGTTTCATTAAAAACTTCGTTAACCATCATAATATTTTTTTCAAAGACTGATAATATCATCGAATGATATTTGAAATCAGGTTTATTTTAATTAGGAAATTTAAAGTGAAGAAAAATCGACAAAGGATTTTAAAATAGTTAACTCTCCAAGATTTTAAAATAAATTATAATGGTTAGCTAAAACATAGGATTTGAAAAGTTTCAAGAACTACATGAAAAAATGTGAGTAATTGCGTCAATGTCGTCAAGAACTTTTGCAGTATGATTATTTTGAGCTTTCGATTTATTGATACTTCCAGAAAATCTATGCAGAACATAAAAGCTATAACAATTGGTGTTGACAATGGCAAGAGTTGGAAAATTTTATGAGTTTTAAAATAATAAAAGAAAAGATTGAATTTTGTTAAATTGTATTTATACGACAAATTTAATATTAAATTAGTGAAAGCTAATATTTATATGGATGTATGATAAATATGGATCATCGGTCAAATATGACCAATCTGTCATATTTGTCAACTAAATCAACTATAAATTTGAAGATCTATTTTTTTGAGATCTTTTAATAATGTAAATCTTGCAGTCAACAGTTATTTGGAATATCCGCTCTGTTCAAAAGTCAAGGATTCTATCCTGGATTTTTTTTGGTTAAAATCCTGGAAGATAAACATAACCCCTGATGAAATTTAAGGAATTAATCCGCATTGGGATTATTTTTGGATAAAATCTTGGATGGTCCCAAAAGATCATCAGGGTCATCCGGGATCGAAATACATTTTTTCGCAATTCAATCCCGGATCATCCAGGGTTGAATCCTGGACTTTTGAACAGTACGGCGCCTCATAGAAACGATCTTCACATTTGAGATGGGATATTCCAAATGCGCATTCCAATTTGGGATATCCGAAATAATCATTTCGGACAGTTCAAATATGATAGCTTTATGTATTATTTTTTAAGATCACTACATTCTTATTTTTTTTTTTTGAATGATAAATCACAGAATTCTTCGGTTCCAAAAGAATCCAATATTTGTATAAAATTAACATTTCATCAGAATAAATTTTAATTTACTATGACATCTATTAGGGTTCCATAATGCTAATTTTAAATTTTAAATTTATAGTATTTTAGGTAAATTATTAAATTTATGAAAGAAAATAAAGGAAATGGATTTATATATCATAGCCTGATAAAATGTATAAATATGATCTATTCTGACAACGATAACTCTTACAAAAAAACACTTAAAGCACTTTTTGTCTTATCATTTGCATCATGTGTAAATTATAAACTTTCTTTTTAGTTGCATTCGTCACCATAGCTGTAGGAGCACCTCTAGAAAATGCGATTATCAATCCCATAATCAAGCGAGCCACGATAGAAACTACATTACCCAACTGTCCCCAACACCACCCTGATTACAAAGCTTCACTTTGCTTCAGTATGAACGAATTGATGGTATATTGTCAACGTGATGACGACCCAGATCAAACAATCATAATTTATCAGGCTTGTGAATCAGATGAAATTTGTATTGAACATTATCACGCCGTCGAATCTGATCTAGATGTTCCACATGCAACTTGTATTAATTATCCTATTAGAAAATGGGATAATTTTGCTGATCCCATTACCACAGCCTGTTCAGTGCAAGGGGCCTACAGTTCTCAGTCAAATGATATAGAGATTGCAATAATGGTATATGCATCAGATGGAAAACCGATACAAGTATATGTACTGTATGCAAAAGAAAATGACAGTGTAATTGATTATGTCAATGATCAGCACAATTACACCAGTGTGCTCCAAAATTATCATGAGGAAAAAATTCAATATTGTTTTAATACAGGTTCCTCTAATAAGGTAACAGCTTATGCTGCTGCTTGGGGCATAGAAGAAAAAGCTTTTCTGTCATCTGTTTAAAACATTTTATTGCTTTATCGACCATTCGGCATCTTGAAAGTTAAAATTTTTAATGAATACGTTTTTCGTAGTGTAGAAGAAACACGTTGTATTTTTTCTAATCTGTAACATTTGTACTATCTGCACTATCTGCTTAATTTAACAAATTTTTCTATTTTCTATATTTTCTATATTTTCTATTTTAAATTAATAAATAAATAATTCAATAATCATGCCTTTGTAATAGGTTATGAAAAATTTGTGTGTTTAGTTCACAATCCAAAGTTTTTTTATATTTATATTATTAATTTTGCTTGGTTCAAATAAGTGTCTGGTCAAGTCGGGTTTCAGAAAACTCGAGTGAGCAATTGACTTTTATAAATTATTCGGGTCAGTAATTATTTAACCAGAATTCGACCCGACCAATTATAGTTTAACTTGGAACGAGTTTGTATGATTATACTATCTTGTCTTTTTATACTATTTATTATATTATATTGAAATTATAAAGTTTAAGTCACAAAGTAATACACACTTCCATAAATCTTTTACGCGTACGTTTAAATTTTTGAATATTAAAATTTATCATGTTAAAAACGACAGAAGAACAATATAACTAAAAACTAAAACGCGAATAATATAATAAAACGTATTTTGACTATACCTAATAACTACTTTCTAATTTCTTTAATTCTTTTCCTATAATTTAATTCGAGAATAATCTTTATATCCTTCAATTATACTCTTCCATCTCCTTCAAGGATTATAAAATTAAAGGTAAGATCCTTTTACAAGCCAAATTTCAAGTGTCAAAATTACTTTTCTAACGCCATAACATGATTCGTCCAGAAACCTTCAAACTTTGACTCTTCTGGGAAGCGTTGCTTAGTAAACGTTTTAGTTTAATTCAACCTGTTTTGTTTCTTTCTAAAGTTTGTTTTATATATGCAAATTCTTTTCTTTAGCATTTTCTAGTCTATTCTTTAGGATCCTGCTAACATTTGACGTACAATAATTGATGATACAATCAGAAATCGGGCCGATGGACTTGGCAAAATTATCAATAACGATGTCAAAAAGGGGCCGAAATGACATGTCAGATCTGACAGTAAGTTCCGAAATGTCCGAAATGGTCATAACTGCTAAATGACAGAATCGATTAGCGCTGGCGCAAGCGTTTAAATTAAGCGCAGTCATGTTTCATGAATGAATTATGATTTTTTTTTGAACTGAATTTACGTTGATCTACATTACTTATTTTATATTAAATCTGGTCTGATGACGTCGATCAGGAGATCGCTTCGTGCGATTTGAAAATGATTGATTACATATTAAATAAAATAAAAGGTATTTGAGATCTCAAATATTGGTTATTTGTTGGTTGTCATTATATGATTTATTGAAGGTATAGGCTGTTTTTCTTTATATTATTTTTATTTTTATTTTTTTTTTTGATTAATTTATTCTAATTTTATTTTATGGATTTGTGACTAGTGCTCCGAAGGGTCGGGTCGGGTCGGGTTTCCGAGAAACCCGAACACGACCCGAGAGTGCAAATAAACTTTTGCAAATATTAGGGTCAGTATTTACATAACCCGGACCCGACCCGACTAGTTAAACTTCAGACAACCCGGGTTTTACGGACAATGTTAATGCCGAGAAACGAATTTCAATATGAAGGGTGTTTTTTATAAATTATTTATTGTATAGTATAAATTCATTTTTCAATGCTAGTTAATGCATCAAAGAATAATCCCAATTTAACTTCAAAACCTTGATTTTACGCATACATGCACGAATTGTATATGCTTAGTAGTACCAGCCGTTGGAGTCAGAGTCGACGGCTGAGTCGACTGAAAAGTCTCTAACGGCCTGCTGACTGAGTCGACTCCAGAATTTGTCACGCTTAAAACAATTGAGCATCCGAAATGATAATTTGAGATAACCGAAGTGGCTATTCAAGACAATTCGAAGAGATTATTTGGGTGAAGTGGTGGTCATTTGGGGTATGATCCAAAGTGGTCATTTCGGACAACATTTGGGTCCTTAACATTAAAATGCATATTGTTGGTGATAATGTAGTTAATATATCCAGCTTATATAAAATCATAGAAAAAAATATTTGACAGATGAGCATTTTGTTAATCCATTTTTCTCGACCCATTCCTTGAAAACATAAAAAACATAAAATATGAATTTGCACGTATTATTGTTTTACCCGGCATACAAAAAAATCTTTATACATTTTATAATATTTAATTGTTTTGTAAGGCATAAAATTTGTCATAATCAAAAATTAACTTAATCTTTTTATCCTTGTTTTAAAATTTGCGATTTAGAGAAGTCTTTTTGTTTAACAAATTCTTTCTCGTAAACTATTTCAATTTTAAATTATCACCACGCTATGAATTAACCAGATTTATGTGTCAAACACTATTTATTTCTTAATACTATTCATCATATTTACTAATTATTTTAAAATTGTTAATCACAAGTAACAATAGCAAAAAAATCAGGATCTTTATTTTTTAACAAATTAGTTTAAAGGTAGTTATGAAATCGATAAATAAAATAAAAATTAAGAAGTACAGTAGAAAATAAGATAATAATTATATTGAACTAAGGACTTCTTCGGATTATTATTATTAAGGAGAACATTCAAATATTTCCCAATTTTCTAAAGTACCATGAAAGTGCCAACATTGATCCCTATCATTATTAAATGGACCGCGCCACTTATCGTCTTCAAGAGAGAGACCAATTTGGAAAGCGAGCCAATATGTGTTTATTTCATCAGGGATATTCAAAGAATAACCAGTGTGAGTCCATTCACCTTCATTGGCGAATCCGCCATCATTCCAATTGAAGTGGCCTTGTTGATTTTCTTCGGTGGCTGCAGCATGAGTAAAAACACCAATCCGAGCCTTGTTTTGTATCCATACAGTATGATTTGCTAATTTATTCCATCCAACCAATATAATTAAATTATTAAAACTGATGATTATTAATAGATTTTGTCACGATTACTCAAATTTACCTTCTATAAACGTTAGCGTCATTGATGTCACTAGTCCAAAGATGATTGCAATGATTATGGTAGATTTCATGACGAATAGTTTTTCTTTTTAATAAGTATAATAAAATTTTGATTAAGGATTCCTCAGTGTGTTTATATATAGTAAATTTTGCTTATTTCCCACATGCTGAAATGAATATCGAAATTTGATATTCAATACATTTTTATTTTCATTTTATTATTTGTCCAGACACCTAACCTAAATCATAAAAAAAATGGATGGTTCTGAGAATATATTTATAGACTCGAATATTGGTTAGATCCGGAGTGCTGGGAAAATGGACCAAATTGATTTTTTTTTTTAAAAAAAGTTCCTAAGTAAAATAGATGTAGATTTGGTCATCTGATTCAGATCATTTGTTATTTCCAAAAAAAAAATTTTTGTCGATTTGGTCCTTTTTCCCAGCACTCACCCCATATATGGATGAGTCTTAGATATCTTGGAAGATTGTCAGTAATATCCGTAAATCAGAAAAATCGGATTTTAATTAACTCACCCAACCCACCATAAATGATATTCATTTTTAATTTTCAGTTTTTTAAATGAACCAGGTTTGATACTAATATTGAAACCAAAAACGAAAAGATGATAATTAATTTATTTTACACTCTCCATATTGGTTTTAATTATATCCGGATATCCTGATACCCAGATCGTCCCTATGATATAATGTGTCTGTTCTGTAAATTGCCGAAAAATACAATTGATAATGTTTCTATTTTCACAATGTAAAACTTTTCATTTTTTGTTAATCCGTATCATACTAAACTCCGAATCACCTTTTCATATTAATCCTCCCATATGTTTCCGTATGCCCTATAAAAATTTTCGCTGAATGTCTTCGTAAATTTTCCGTGAAAATGAGCCTTTCACGGAATACGTATAGTATAAATGATTTATATGAAAATTTTCGTGATTTAAGATTACAAATTCCGTGAAAATAAGCCATTCACGGAAAATCTTGGAAAACAAAATACGGATCAACTTTTTTATATGTATGAATATAGGACATTTAGACAAAAAAAAATTAAAAGTATTTACATATGTTATTGAGATTTCGAATAATTGAAAATCATTTCATAACATAATTTTACTATATATAAACTCCCTCAGGAATGCAAATCAAACTTCATTAAAACACCTTACTATTCGTATTAAAAAATAATTTTTCGTCATGAAATCTTCCATAATCATTGCAATCATCTTTGGCCTAGTAACTTCAATGACGCTCACGCTTATTGAAGGTAAATTTGAATAATCGTGACAAAATATTTAAAATAAATAATCTTCTGTTTTAATAACTTTAAATATATTGGTTGGATGGAATAAATCTGTAGGTAATAAAGTATGGATACAAAATAAGGTTGAGCGTGGTTGTTTTACTCGAGCTGCAGCCACCCAAATACATGATGAAGAAGGCTGGGAATGGGACAAAGATGGAATCGACAATCGAGGTCAATGGACTCACAATGGTTATTATCTGTATATCCCAGAAGATGTAAAAACATATTGGCTCGTTTTCGGAGTGCTATATTCTACTGAAGAAGATAAGTGGCGCGGTCCATTCGAAAATGATGGGGATAAATGTTGGCACTTTCATGGTACTTTAGATAATTGGAAAATATATGGATGTTAAAGTATTTATCCGCGGAGCGGCTCAATTATCATATTTTACATTTTTTTCAACATCATTTTGTTTTCGTTTATTTCTTATAGTGTATGATTTTGAACCATTTTATATCTATTCAACTTATTTAATATTTTTTATATTTTCAAATTTGCTTTCAATAAAGGTATTATTAAGGTTCTTATTTCCTTGAATAATTTTTATCAAGATGAGTATTACGCGTTCTGAAAAAAATTACCAATGTGAAATATCACATATAATATGAGTAATAAAACTCATTGTGAGCAGATTCCAAAAGTAATACCAAACTAATTTATAATCTTTGATGCTGTTAATAACGTATAAATAAGTCTAGCATCATTCATGTAATCTCAATTGTTATTGCTCTAAATAAATTAAATTCTAGAGTGATATAATGTTCCGATCATCCCATTTTATGAGACGAGGCCAGATTTTTTCCTATATCTCTAATTCATGAAAAATCGCTTGGAGAACGTTTTTTTTAAAAAATAAATTCATGTGGGTTCAAGGGAATCTTGTCAATGTATAAATTAATAAACGTAGATGAACAGTCATATTTCTTTGATATTCCATATTTACTAATATTAATTTTGCATGACTACAACTCAACTTAAAAAAAATAATTATTGTTAACGGATTTGCGCAGCAATTTCCTATGATAATTATTCTATACGGTAAACCTAACTAACCTATCGTCATAATATATTTATACAAATTTATTAGAGTATGGAAATCAAAATGTTCAAAAGGGAATAAACAATGTTCATACACCAAAAAATAATTGAAAAATGTATAATTATAACATTCAGGAAATACAAATGTTTATTAATAAATTTTAAATTTTTGTAAAATTTAATAAATGCGATTATATCTAATAGAAACAGAAAGGAAATTTTCAAAAAAATCCACCAATCTCATGTTTTATTGTCAAATATGAAACATTGGGATATTAAATAAATGGATCATAAGAACCTAAGGAAGCCAGACCTCTTAAAGAGGAATTCTAACTACCTAGCTTCTGGTCCTAAATACACTCATTCACGATGGAAGGCACTGTGCAACAAGGCTGTCCAACACAACATAAACGAATTTATTTAGGAAATTCTTCTCGAGTGGGCCACCTATTAGCACTAACACGAACTCTAAGATTTCCCGGATAAACGATTTGTTTAAGCACACCAATAATATGTACTAGGTGCCTTCACCGCTTTCTATTTAAATACCAATGCACATATAAGAACAATAAAAATTGAGATGAAAACGAAGGAAAGTAATAAAAAATATTAAGTATTTATGAATACTCACAAATTTCAACTTTATTAATTTATTGCATGGTAAATTTTTTATTAACACGAAGAACGCCGCCACTATATTATTTCAAAATAGACAAAATAGAAAAGATAAGTTAGAGGAATATAATGAAACTTTTTAAAAATAATTGACGATTAAACATGCTTTTGAGTTTTTTTTTAGAGAAAAGCAAGAAACATAAATTTCAATAAAACAAAAGTTCTGGATAAAAGTTTACAAGCTTCCTAATTTCATTTATAAATATTAAGTAAATACATTATTTAGCTGTAAAAAGGAAGAACTTAAAAACATCACTGCGCACAAAAAGGCGCAAAAAAGAAAAAACACCAAGTAGATCACAAATTTACATTTTTAAATACTTCTTAAAAGTTAAGAACAGGTGAAAATGCGTGATGATTAATTATTATTACATCTAAATTAATGCAATTGAATCCCTACATTTGATTACAGAACAATGAAATGCATGTCACCCTTGGGTTTTGACTGCGCCAAAATTAGATCACCGGTTATGACGGCGCATTGACATTTCGGACCTTTAGGACAATACGGATCCCTTGGTAAGATGAAAGATATATGTCAAAATGACCATTTTTGACATTAGGGATCAAATAATTGGTAATTCCGTCATCCAAGCCGCAAGTTCTAGAGAATGCCGTAGCAAAGCCATGGAAAGGAATTTATAATATAAAAAGCTTCGTTTCGCTCTTGATTAACGATAGGATTTGAACATTTTGTTTTAGATAGTTCTTTTCTCTTTGGGCCAATTCAGAGCGCCGACAGAGGCAGTAATTGTGCATTTAATTGTATTCTTTTATCATTTATAATAAAACTATTTCCTTTATTTTCTTTAATAAAAACTTTATTATTTTATTCGCTAAAATCGATCTACATGCTATTTTCGTTACATTGTTTTTGTCTATACTACTAAACTATAAAACTATCTACAAATTACCTCTCTAACTCAAATAGGATGTGTGTCGATCAAAAAGTCCGGAAGATCATTACGGTAATCAATTATAAAAATTAAACTTTATTTTTTCTTTAACGTACATAACACAACTACTTATTATCATTCAATAATTATTCCTTCATAAAATAAAATAAAAATTATCTGCAAATATGAATGCCGAGAATCATTTAGGTAAGTTCATTTTATATTTTATTACAAATTAATAAATTACTTTTACTAAAAAATTAATTTTTGCGATAAATTTTAGACACTTTTCGATTTAAACCAATTATTAAGAATGCAAAACAATCGCATAAAGATTTAACGGATGTTTATCAAGCAGCTGTAATTAATAAAAATTTATGTAGATTATCAACATGCTGTTACAGCTCGGGACGAATTAAAAAATCATAGAGAAGAAAATGAAAGATTTTTTTACAACAAAAAATTTTGAAAATTTAAAGAAATTGGTAGAGATTATTAATAGGATTAGAGCATTTTCTAAGGAAATTTCTCAGTTTAAGAATTTGTTGAAGATTATTATTGATAAAAGAAATAATAGAAGTTTTAAAAGTTTAAATAGTGAATTTGATACCATCATGCAAGAACTGCAATTTCCTGAGATCAATCAGGTAATTGATCTTATGAATGCGTGTCCTTATTTTGCAAATCTCTTATTCATCGATTTAGAATGTCACCGAAATTGATGTAAATGATATAAATGTCTGTAAAGTTGATATGTTATGAATATAATCGTTATATTATTCTATTTACAAATATCTTATGTCATTATTTATATTCTTCATGATATGGGTAGCGGTTTACCAAAGGCAAATTACAAAATTAAAGTTTGTTTCGTGTTTATTTAGATCGGCAACGTAACTCTTTAAGTAAAGCATAGTGATCACATTGATTTATTTAAATTTACTTGTTATTTTGTTGATTTACAGTAATTCCTTTTATTCATTAGATTTCATTCTGATACGTGAATAATACATCTAACATTGGTCGGAAGTCGGAATTATTATGATATCTCAAATTTTCTGCATCGGAATCATATTTTCATATTGTTACAACTTTCCGTTAAATTATTGTTCTGATTTGTCCTATTTAAACTTCGAAGTGAGGCTTCTTTGACCTTTAAAAAGTAGTTTTTTTTTGTAATATTTCAAATGAGAAAATATCTCAGAAGTTGGATAATTAAACAATTTTATATTATTATAAACCTGGATTAGATCCAGTTGAAACTAGTTTGGTGTTACTTTTTAATAATACCAAAAGAAAAGAATTTTATCTAATAATTTTTTATACTGTTAAAGTCATTTATCAATTTCAAAAATTTCTTTTATTACAAATAAATTTATAAAAATATTAAAAATATTAATAAGTTTGATTAATTCCTACTTTCTTCGTTATATAGAAAAGTAAAAATTAAATGATCGTTACAATAATTTTAAATTTTAGTTGATTATCTTCCTTTAAATAACTTAAAAAAATAAAAAACCACCTCCCAATCTTCTTTATTAAATTTTTTATTAAATAAAAATTCTCTATTTTCCTTCCAATGCTTCTTTTAAATAAGTTTTTTTAAAAATAAAAATAATAATAAAATTATCCCTCTGATCTTCTCAATCATCTCAATTTAATATTTTTTTTTTTATAGTTAATTTTTACTCCGAATGAAATTTAATTTTCGGTCAGAATTAAATTATTGTGACTAGAAAAAATTTCGCTACAGTCAGTGCAGATAGTCTATATTCGATCATAAAATTTTTAATAATATTTTAAAGATTTGAACCGATAATTTTAATAAATATTAACATTAGCTATAAAAATTATCGGTTATTTTTTTTTAAAAATTAAATTTTGACCGAGTTATATCCTTTATAAAAGCATGTAATTTAACCTAAAAATTGATATTGTATAAAATTATTGTAACCATTTTTTTTTAGTTGTATTTATTGTAACGGTCAATGACAATCGTATTACATCAAAAAAAAATTATTCCCATAGAAAATTTAATAATGCCGAGAAGGAAAAAAAGTTCTAAAGCCGCAAAAAAAAGACTAAACAAACAGGGTAATAATTCTGATACTGGACAATTTAATGATAAAAATGATGTTTATGTACCATCAAGTGAATATTCATGATGAAGAATTCATTAATAAAAGATTTCAGCAAATAGGCGGTTTTTGAATTAATTTGGTCTAATGATTCTTATAATAAAAGAAAAAACCATATATCGGAAATTCACAGCAACAAAATATCGAAAATACGACCCTTCTGGAACATTTACTCAGGCTGCTAAATCAATACAACCGATCACTAATTTTTTTAGTTATTCAAATTCTCGTGAAAAAGATGCGGATATATGATATGAAAACGATACAGAAAGTGATGGTGAACAAGACATGATGCAGAAAGTGATAATGAACAAGAAAATGATGAGGGAAGTGATGGTGAAGATGGAACAGAATGTGATCATGAGGGTGATGACAAAAGTGCTATAGATAGTGATAGTGAGAGATGATAATGCACAAAATAATGATGAACAAAATATAAAAATTAAAATAGTAAAGCTTGAAAATATTTTAAAAAAAAAATAGCGGCATACGCATATGATTATTTACAATATATTGCTTTGCATTTATTTTTTATATATTGGAAACAATATAAATTATCTTGGGTCAAAGCAAGTTTACGATCTGCAAAAGAATCTATAATAAAGGGGATACAAAGCACAGCAGATAAGAAAATGGGCAAATCACTGGATAGAAAATGATACTTTACCCAAATCTAAGCAAGGATGTTATCAGAAAATAAAGTCATTGATAGATAACAAAGATATTGTCCAAAAAGTTAATTTTTATTCGTAAAAATGATAATAAAATAACACCAAAGGTATTTACCTATTTTATTAATAAAAGATTTACTTTCACGAATGAATATATCATGCTAATCCATTTCTATTCAAACAGCGAAATTTGGTTAAAAAATTAGTTTGGTACCACAATCTAGTAAAAAAGGCATGAACATGAAGATGTGTTAGAATATCGTAAATATTTTTTAAAAGAAATGCAAGATTTTGAAAGATTGATTAATGCCAACTTGAGGGAGAAAATATGGAACAAAAAAATCATTACTTTTAGATCATAAATATTAGTTACACATGATGATTTAATTCAAATGATGATAGACTGATTGTTTGGACTTCTCTTGGTCAACCTCCTTTAAGAAAAAAAGGACAAGGAAATCTATTATGATGGAATTTATTGATGTAGCAATTTAGCATTCTTTATTTTTTTTTTTTTTACATTTTAAGTACGTGAATAAATTTAAATAGACTTTACCAATTATAGCTAATTAAGATGTAAATAAAAACATTGTTACGTTTCTCGAAACTATTACAATTAAACTCCCGCCATTAATGCTTATTATTTTTCAATATTAGTTTTCGTTTATTTATATTTTCTAATTTTTTTTTTACTTTTCACTTTGATCTAGGTTAGGGTTGGAACAAATCGTATCGGTAAATAAGTATATAAAACTATTTTAATAAAATATGCATATTATTAATGTAACAATATATTTCTGTTATACATATGTGGTTGTCACATGACAAGATACATCATCTTGTGGGTTTTAATAATCTTTTTTTCTTGATTTTTTCGATGCTAAACTTTCTTTTTAAATATTGAAATCATACATAACTAATTATTTGAATATTTACTCAATTTAATTAACTCGATTCGCTATTAAAGGATTTGATACATTGAATTCTGAAAGTTAAATATTTCATGCAGAATTTCTAATAATTGTTGTCCAAAGCTTCAAGATTTTGTTGTTTAGCGCGTGTTGTATTACCATATTTGATCACTAGTACGAAAGGATAATTTTACGATTTGCTGATTAATCGGATTAAAGTAAATCAATTTCCAACTTAGGCGATTTTACGAGTTTCTCCACCGTTGAGATCATCCTTTGATTTATTATTTTTTTCCCCTTACGACTTTGGATCGCTTCAGAAAGTTAGTAAGGCTTTTTTGATTTTATTTTTGGATTCATTTTGCCCAAATCAATACTAATATACAAAAGGAATTATATTATAAAGCAATTCAATGTTTTTAATTATGTCACTCTCCAAATTAAGAACTTAAAAATTTTAATATATAAATGAAGATCCTTATATTATTATCCTACAATTTCATTTTTTTTAAAAAATTGTAACAAGAGGAAATAAAATATTTATATAGAAAATGAAACGATCGAGATATTAATGAAAAATTTAATAATATCTTGATAACTTTATATTACTGAAACATCGCTATGATTACGAAAAGGAAGAAATTCAACGGTTCAACGTTTGTTGTCACGTGAAAAAATTCACATTATTAAAATTTCAGTTCTTTTTATCTTTATGAGTTTTATAAATATTTCTCATTTGAACATAATCTTCAATAACAATAAGGTAACCTCAAAGGTCTATTATGTTGTTGATATTTTTTCTTATAGCTTCGGCCCGTGTCCATCTCAGAATAATGCTAAATTGCTACATTGATAAAGGCTGAATCCCGTCAGATTACCATTCAGTAAGAATATGAAACTGAATTAAATATCTAAATGTAAATTTGCAGCGTAATTGAAAATCGTTTATATTTTTGTAAATAAAAGATGAAAAAATCGTTAATCAACTCAAAACCGAAAATCAATCGAAATCAAAGTGTATATACAGTATGGTATAGTATAGATCTTTTCATTTATTTGCTTCTTTTTTGAACGTTATTTTGTTCTCGACTTATTTGATTCAAAGAAAAAAAATTTTTTCAACGAAAATGCACGTAAAATTTCACAAAGAATCCAAAAATCAGAAAAAAAAAAAAAGATTACAAAATTCACTTGTTATAAGAAACAGTCCTTTCTTTTAAATTAATCATATGACCAATTAAATAGTGTAACGTGATTTTCATAGCCGATTGAGACTATGATTTTAATCTATAGAATATCCGTTTTCAAAAATAAAAGTTCAAATTTTTATTATTAGTATTAAAAAAAATTCTTCATTAAGAAATCTTCCATAATTGTTTGCAATCATCTTGGTCTAGTAAAATCAACGACGCTTGCGATTATTTGAAGGTAAAATTAAAATAAGCGTTAATAACCATATGATTTAAAACTTTAAATATATTGGTTGGATGGGATATTGTTACAATATTAGTTAATAGTTGCACATGACGATTAATTACTATTTTTAATCCCGACTGTAGTTTACTTAAAATAGTTAGTGATCTGCGCAAGTTTGGGAGATCAAACGTGTCCTCTGGGAAAGTTGTCCTTTCAAAAAAAGGTGGGATTAATACCTGGGTTCGAATAGATAACGGTTTAAATGACACTTTACACCATAGTTTAGAAACTCCCGATATTCCCTTAGATAGATTTTTATTAGACGTAGTAATTTCGCGATTGACATTAAAAAAATTGATTCCGAAGAGTGCAGAGCGCCGACGTTGAGGTAATTTTTGCATAATTATTGCTTAATTAAAAATCTTTCTGCAATATTATAAATTAGTTTATAAAAATAAACACTAAAACTACTGAATTGTAAGCCCTCGAAAGAGATGAAAGAGGAGGTTAGACAACAAGGTGCCTATATTTGTTGTAGCCCAAATGCGTTAATGTCCGAAAGAGCATTTCGGATAATACCTCAAATGCTCACTTTGGGATATCCCAAATGCTCACCGGATAATATCCCAATTGCACATTTCGTATATCCCAAATCCCTATATTTGTCATTTTGATCATTCGAAATGGTTTTTGGAGCATAAAATAGTCATATTGAGCATCCGAAATGATAATTTGGGATAACCGAAGTGGCTATTCGAGACAAATCGAAGAGATTATTTGGGTGAAGTGGTGGTCATTTGGGGTATGATCCGAAGTGAGCATTTTGGATATTATCCGAAGTAATCATTTCGGACATTAACGCATTTGGGTCCTTAACATTAAAATGCATATAGTTGGTGATAATATAAAATATCCAGCTTATATAAAATCTTAAAAAAAAAAAATTTGACAAATGAGCATTTTGTTAATCCATGTCCATAAACTTTCCATAATTTTTCTCGACCCATTCCTTGAGAACATAAATATGAATTTGCACGTATTTTTTTTAAAATTATTGTTTTGACCCGGCATACAAAAAAAATCTTTATACATTTTATAAGTTTAAATATTTAATTGTTTTGTAAGGCATAAAATTTGTCATAATCAAAAATTATCTTATTCTTGTTTTAAAATTTGCGCATTATGGATGTCTTTCTGTTTAACAATACTTTCACGTAAACTATTTCAATTTTAAATTATCACCACGCTATGAATTAACCAGATTTATGTGTCAAACCCTATTTATTTCTTAATGCTATTCATCATATTTACTAATTGTTAATCACAAGTAACTATAGCAAAAAAATCAGGATCTTTATTTTTTAACAAATTAATTTAAAGGTAGTTATGAAATCGATAAATTAAGAAGTACAGCAGAAAATAAGATAATAATTATATTGAACTAAGGGCTTCTTCGGATTATTATTATTGAGGAGTCAAATATGAAATCATAAAGTTATGACTATAATAATTAAATAAATTGAATGGATATATAAAATGATTCAAAAATCATATAATATAAGAAATGATTGAAATACTTTAAAAAAATGTCGAAAAATAAATAATGAACTGTCATATTTGTCGCTCTGTGTATAAATGTTTAACATTCAAATATATCCCAACTTTCTAAAGTACCAGTAAAGTGCCAACATTTATCCCCATCATTATTAAATGGGCCGCGCCACTTATCGTCTTCTAAAGAGCCACCAATTTGGAAAGCGAGCCAATATGTGCTTATTTCATCAGGAATATTCAAAGAATAACCATTGTGAGCCCATTCACCTTCATTGGCGAATCCGCCATCATTCCAATCGAAGTGACCGGCTTCATTATCTTTGGTGGCTGCAGAATGAGTATAACAACCAATCCGAGCCTTGTTTTGTATCCATACTGTATGATTTGCTAATTTTATTCCATCCAACCAATATATTTAAAGTTATTAAAACAGATGATTATTAATATATTTTGTCACGATTATTCAAATTTACCTTCAATAAGCGTGAGCGTCATTACTAGGCCAAAGAAGATTGCATTGATTATGGTAGATTTCATGACGAATAATTTATTTTTTAATACGAATAGTAAGGTGTTTAAATGAAGTTTTATTCGGATTCTGAGATTCCTGAGAGTTTATATATAGTAAAATTATGTTATGAAATGATTTTCAATCATTCGAAATCTCAATAACATATGTAAATTCTTTTAATTTATTTTGTCTAAATGACCTATATTCATACCTATAAAAAAGTTGATCCGTATTTTGTTTTCCAAGTTTTTCCGTGAATGGCTTATTTTCACGGAATTTGTAATCTTAAATCACGAAAATTTTCATATAAATTATTTATACTATACGTATTTCGTGAAAGGCTCATTTTCACGGAAAATTTACGAAGACATTCGGCGAAAATTTTTATAGGGCATATGAAAACATATGGAAGGATTGATATGAAAAAGTGATTCTGAGTTTAGTATGATACGGATTAAAAAAAATCATGGTATGAAAATAGAAACATTATCAATTGTATTTTTCGACATTTATTGGCAATTTACAGATTATATCATAGGTCGATCTGAATATCTGGATATCTGGATAGATACAATCAAATTAAAACCAATATTAGTATCAAACCTGGTTCATTTAAAAACCTGAAAATTAAAAATACGATTTTTCTGATTTACGGATAACCGATCGACAATTCCATATTGTACCCGAAATGCGTTAATGTCCGAAATGATCATTTGGGATATCCCAAATGCGAAGATCGTTTCGCATTTATCCCAAATGGTCATTTCGGATAATGTCCCAGATGATCATTTCGGATAATGTCCCAAATGTTCACTTCGGATATCCCAAATGACCACTTCGGTTAATATCATTTCGAATATCCCAAATGACTACTTTTGACATTCACGAATTGTAATTTCGGACAAATGACCTCTTCAAACCGTTTCAAATGACCAGAGACATATAGGAAATTAACATTATATGCCAAAAAGTTGAATTACTAATTAAGGTGCCCTATATTTGTCATTTTGTTCATTCGAAATGTTTTTTTGGAACATAAAATAGTCATATTGAGCATCCGAATTGATAATTTAGATCGAAGTGATTATTGGGTGAAGTGGTGGTCATTTGGTGTATGATCCGAAGTGGCCATGTGGGATATCCGAAATGAGCATATGGGATATTATCCGAAGTGAGCATTTGGGATATTACATTACCCGAAGTGGTCATTTGGGATGATTTCCGAAGTGGTCATTTGGGATATCCGAAATGAGCATTTGGGATATCCGATATGAACATTTGGTATATTATCCGAAGTGAGCATTTGGGATATTATTCGAAGTAGTTATTTGGGATATCCGAAGTGAGCATTTGGGATATCCCAAATGCGCATTCCGATTTGGGATATCCGAAATGATCATTTCGGACATTAACGCATTTTGGGTACAACAAATTAAAGAAATTGAAATTCTATTTCACTTAAACTAGAAGGAATTATAAGAACTTACAAGTATTAAAAGCTCAAACATGTTATTCCAGGATTAGGAATAAATCAACGACAGCATTCTGACTAAGATCTTTAGGTTAACAGTATCATTTTGACAAAATTGAAAGGCGCAACTTCATTCACTTTCATTTTATTTATTTATTTATTTTTTTTTGAAATAAAATTTTTAAAATTCTTATTTGAGCAAAGTAAACTAAATATTATATTTTATTTTAAAAATAAGAGATCTGTATTAGGACTTAAGCGATTTCTTTTATGATTAATAATATTACCTATCAGCATCTGAAAAAAAGCCGTTCTAATGGAACAGATATAGTAGAAAAAAATCCAACGAGAAGAAAGAGTTTTACACACTAGTGAAGCTGTGATCCGTAACTGCAGCGATCATTTGATTTAGTTGACAAATATAACAGATTAGTCATATTTGAACAACGATCCATTTTATCATATTTATAATATTTGTTAACTTTATTAACTTTATTAAATTTTTATATTTGATAAATTTATTATATTTATCATAATAGTTATATTTATTATATTAGAAATATTAGATATATTTATTATATTATATTAGTTTATTTTATATAAATAGTATGTATTTTCCCTTGAGTTGAAAAATAACTCAAAATAGAGTTTTGCGAATAAACCAAGAGTTCAATAAAAATATTTGTTATTTGTGATTAATTCGACAGACTGAATTATATAATCTAAGTTTTATTTCCAGCCCTCTGGCTAACACTAGTCGAAATAATCCACTTCGTAAAGTGCTGAATATTGGCCAAAATATAGTCTAATTTTTGCTGATCATTACTCAAAAAATTAGCATTTTTAGTTATAGCTTAATTTGCCCATTTTATACCATACAAAAAACCATTCAACATTAATGACTAGTAGTTATTTGATATAACACTAGGCAAAATAATACAATTCATCACATTTTAAAATGCTGAAAATTAGCCAAAATATAGTCTATTTTAACTAATCATTACCAAAATTAGCATTTTGAATAAATAGAAATCAGCTATCAATCAGTATATACAGTATGTTAAAATTTGGTTAAAATCAGCTTTAAATCTATTAACAATTAGCAAAAATTAATTAAACAATTTTTTATAAAATCGAAACTAATAAAACTTATTTTTTGATTTATAATTTTATTTTATTATTATATAATAAATTACTCAAAAAGATATACTATATATTGTATTATATTTTATTCAAAAAATGATATATTTGATTTTTTAAAGATAAGAAAAAATAAAAACAGTTAAAAAACTATCAAAAATCATTTCTTAAAGGCTTACCTTATATATTTCTAAAAAAAGTAAAAAAAATAAAGAAAATAGTCAAAAACCATTAATATACAACCTTCAAAAGGCTTATCTTAATATATTCCTAAAAAAAAAAAAAAATAAATAGTTAAAAAACCATTAAAATATCACCACTAAAAGGCTTATCTTAATATATTCCTAAAAAAAAGTAAGGAAAAAATAAAGAAAACAGTTAAAATCATAAAATATTATCTCTATTTACTTATCTTAATGTATTACTAAAAAAAGCAAATAAAAAATAAAGAAACAGTTAAAAAACCATCAAAATATCACCTCTGAAAGGTTTACCTTAATGTATTTCTAAAAAACAGTAAAGAAATAAGTAAAGAAAACAATTAAAACCACAGTTTTAAAAGGTTTACCTTTGTATATTTCTAAAGAAAGTAAAAAAAAATAAAGAAAAAAAGGTTAAAAACTATCTAAAGGTATCTTTCATAAGGCTTACCTTAGCTTTTAAAAGAAAATTTTACTAACAAAACCAAATAAAAAAAATGGTTAAAAACCATCTAAAAGTATCTTTCAAAAGGCTTATCTTAAAAAGAGAATTTTCCTAAAAAATCAAAGAAAATAAAAAAAATGGTTAAAAACCATCCAAAAGTCACCTTTAAAAGTCTTACTTTAGTTTCAAAAAGAAAAATTTCCTAAAAAAACCAAAGAAAAACAAAAAAAATAGTTAAAAACTAAAGATTAGAACTGTTTTCTAATTCTTCATTTAGGTATTCATGTCATTTTATAAATCATACCTGGGTTATTTTAGATTATAGTTTATTTAACTTAACCTTCATTATGACATGTTATTGCTATCACCAAAAAAAAAATTAGTGACAAGCTTTATTACTAGAATAACAATTATATTATCATTATCTAAAAGGAAAGACCTATCATCTATAATTAAAACAAATATTTAGAATAAATTTGATAACGAATTAAAAATTAAATAAAAAATTCAGCTGAAATGTCTGTAATAAAGATGGTACAGCAATTGATTTCAAATTTACAAAATGTTGCAACATAAGCTAAAATTAGTTGCAACGTATATAGGTTAAAACTAATTGTAACGTAAATTGCAACATTAAAAGTTGCAACATATTAATTACAGTTCCCATCTTTAGCTGTGAAGTTTAAAAAACCATGTGACGCAGTTAGTATAGTTGCAAAAATCACCTATAACTTCGTGACTATTAACTCTACTTTGGTGAAAATTTATATTCAATTGGTTTCGAATCTGCTAAACAATTTCTTCTTAATTGTAAAGGTCGATTAGCTTTAACAAAAATGCTCAAATTACGCCTTGAAATCTCTTTATACAGTTTGTAAAAGTATTTTTTAAATAAAAAGAAAAAAAAATAAAAAACTGTAGATATTTTTAACATTCTTTCAAATTGATTTGATTCAAGCATTTGTGTTTAAGTTTAAAAAAGTAAGAATTTTTAAAAATAGCATTAAATAAAATAGGTTCTTTTTGGTTAAAAAAAAAAGAGAGAGATCAAAAAAAATATCAGGTTTAAAAAAAAAATTTGATTATCAGTGATACTAATTGCATTTTAAAAAGTTGATTATCAAATATATAAAATTTAATACAGATTACTAAAAATGCGTATTATTTCTATATACAATATTTTTGGTTTGAATATTATTTTTTTTTTATTTTTTTTCATTTTATGTAAAATTTATACATTATTTCAAATTCCTTAATAATTCCGTATACATCAATTTTCTAAAAAGTTATAAAAAAATAAATCATTATAAAATATACGTAATTTACTACGAAATCAGTAAATACATATATAAACCTTATAATAAACTTATCATTTCCTTATTTAAATTTCTTATAGGGATAAAGAAAAGAAATATTTATGTGATGGATGTACTATAAGCTGGCCTTCTAAAAAGTCTCTAGAACATCATTTAGAATGGTGTCTAGAAATACATAAAAATGCCTCTCAAAAAGTCGCAATGCCAGTGAAAGGGATCAATAATTATGAGAAGTTCAAAAACTATGGTCGAATGATCAATACTCCATGTGTTATTATGGCTGATTTTGAGGCTGATAATAAGAAATGTAATAAGACATATGGTAAAAGTATGATTAAACTCACTGAGCAGAAGGCCAATAGTTTCTGCTATTTGGTTCACTAGATTGATACTGGAGATGTCTGGGGTCTATTCCTATATAGGGGAGAAAGTTCTATACAAGAATTTGTTTGAAGAATCAATCAAGAGCTGGTCAAAATCAATGAGATTCTAGCCATCAAACATGAGTGAATTGAGATTGTAGAAGACAAAAAAAGATTTGCTAATGCTATTAGCTGTTAAATCTATAAAGGTAAGTTTAATATAGATATAGATGAAATTGAGTTTCTAGAGAATAAAATAACCAGTCTTAAAGAGAAACTAGAAAAGTTTAAAAAAGATTCAGCTGAATATAATGGCATTGAAACAACCATTGATAAAGCGACTAAAGCAATTGCTAGTGAAAAAGCTAAAGCCAATAAGGTTTGGGATCATTGTCATATTACAGGTAAGTTTCATGGATCAGCCCATAGGAATTGTAATCTTAAACTCCAAATGTAGGATTGGAAGACCCCAATTCTAGTTATATTTCACAACTTTTAAGGCTATGACTCTCACTTGCTTTGTGAGTCTGTCGGGCGATCAGCTAATGCTCTTCATATTCAAGTTATAGCCGAAATATTTGAGTGATATAAGACTATGAAGGTAGGTCAACTCAAATATATAGATAACAAGCAGTTCATGAATAGTAGCTTGGCCAGTTTTACAAAATATTTGGGTGATAACTACCCAATAACAAACCAATATTTCAAAAAATTAAGTTATACAGAAGAGCAATTAGCATTAGTATATCACAAAGGAGTTTATCCCTATGACTATATCGATTCTCATGATAGGTTTCAGGAGATAGAACTTCCTCCTATTTATGAATTTTATAGTACTCTTAAAGGCAAGATCTCACAAGATGACTACAAATACATTCAAAAAGTATGAAAGGAATTCGGATGTAAAAATCTAGGTGAATATCATGATCTTTATCTTAAAACTGACGTACTTAGTCTAGCAGATGTCTGGATAGAGTTTTGAAAATTTTCTATAGAATATTGTGAACTTGATCCCAGTCACTATGTTTCTGCCTCATCATTATCCTGGAATGGAATGTTTAAGATGTCAGGAGTTAGGATTGAACTTTTCACAAATATGACCATGCATGATTTTATAGAAAAAGCAAAGTGAGATGGTATATCTATGGCCTGTCAACGATATTTTAAGGCCAATAATCCCAAGATAGGAGAAGCCTATGACTCATCTCAACTAACTACATATATCTCATATGTGGACGCAACAAATCTTTATGGTCATTCTATAAGCCAATATTTGCCTATTAGAAATTATCAATTGAAAGCTAGTCGGGAATATTTACTAAAAAATCCAGTTATGCAGAAGAAATATCTTGAAAAAATTCTCAATACATGATCCGATGCTAAACAAGAGTATTTCTTAAAAGTTAATTCTTATTTTCCCTTAAAAATCCATAACTATTTATCAGACTTACCTCCAGCTGTGGAAAATGTCATTGTAGAAAAGGATTGGTTATATTCTTATAATGCTAAACTTGTAGAATAATTAGATGGTAGACGTTTCTCTGCTACAGAAAAATTAGTTCCTCATCTTGGATCACGAAAGAAATATGTCATCCATTAAAAACTTCAATATTATGTAAAATTAGGTATGGTTATAGGTGAAGTTTTAGAGATACTCTCCTTCGATTAGACTAATTGGCTTGAACCCTATATATCTTTTAATGCTGAGAAACGTAATGAGGCTAAAAAAGCTGAAAATATATTTCTAAGTGACTTTTTCAAACTTATGAATGTATTAGTATATGGCAAGACTATGAAGATTGTTCGCAAATATTAGGATGTCAAAATTATGAATAATAATAATGAGCGAGATGAAAAAGCTTTCTTGAATAAGATCTGCATGCTATCTTTCAAGTATGCTAGATTACTAGGATTTACATTAGTAGGAACGCATATGGGAAAAGCTAGCGTAACTCTCAATAAGCCTATCATAGTTGAAGCATCTGTTTTGGGACTTAGCAAGCTTCATATATATAAATTCTGATATGGTTATTTGAAGGAAAAATATGGGTTGATGTTGAACTTGGCTATATGGATACAGACTCTTACATCTTTAAAACTAAGACTGAAGATATCTATAAAGATATGAATGAACGACTGGATCTCTTTAATCTTAATGGAGATCAAACAGTTGGCAAATATAAGGACGAGATACCTGGTAATGTGATTTCAAAATCTACACATATTCGGACAAAATTATATCACTATGTCTTAACGAATAAGTCCACGAATTTTAGACATAAAGGGGTTAGCAAAAAAGGTATGGGTGAGATGACTATGGATAGGGTTCCTCAAAATCGAATCGAATCAAATATTTAAGCAATTTGAATTTGATTTGATTTTTTCAAATCGAATTGAATTGAATTGAATTGAACTCAAATATTTGATCGAATCAATTTGAATCAATTTGAATTTGATCGAATCGAATCAAATT